TGTGGCAGCTGTTGATCCGTCCCACAATGTTTTGGCTGAAGAGCAAGAGAGAATCCTACAGTGTGGAAAGAATCGAAAGATTGAAAAAGACATCTTCACCTTGGACTATCGATCGCTACCTGCTGTCCTCTTTCCAAGCGTTTGCAATCTGCTTAAGCAGCTTGGACACCAAACCAGCTTGTGAATGAAACACTTGGTTGTAGAACATGATCGTCCTTTGCTGAATTTTGTTCTTTAATTTCAAACCATATGCATGTTCTACGTACAAGTTCTTCATGCTCGATCATGTAAGTCTGAAAATCACAGCTATTGTAATCAACTCACTTTTCTCATGGCTGCCAAAAAAAAAAATCTAATACCAAATTGCTGGCTAACAAAGATCTTGAATTAACAACTGAGGCTAAAATCTATAACCGCAAAGTTAAATCTCGAATACCTACTTTTTAATGGATTATAATCTGAAAACGTATCTTTCGCCATGTCTTCCTTCTTTGTATCATTTCCATCATCTGTTGATCCAGAGGCAATATTTTCCATGCCAACATTGGATACAGCTCTGATCTTAATTCTTGCGTGATTAATGTTGTTGGAAAATGCATCACTGTCATCCAGATTTCTGTCCCATTTTCTTTTGTAAGTTGTGCCTCTACTTTGGGATTTGCTTTTCAACTTCTGAAATAGCATTAGTGTGACTCGGCTCAGCAAGAACCTTGGTTGGCGGAGGCATCTTTTCCTTGGTCTTCCTTTCCTCCTGTGTGGCTGATACATGAGCTGTTGCCACCATTTTTCAAATTGAGCAAGGAGAACTGAAGATTTTCTTGCAGAAATACTTGGATTTTGAGCTATGCTGACTCTTTGCCATTGGTTTCAAGAAATCGAAATGAACAAGCTTTTTGTAAGTTTAGGAGATGAAGTAATGAAAAACTAGAGAGCATGCGCGCAAATGCCCTTCTGATCCTTGCTCGAAAACTAAAAATATATGCAGAAATGGATGGGAAAACCTTGGCTGAAATAGTAAAATTCCTCATAAAGGAGAACTTTCTGATTTCTTCAAATGAAGTGATGTGTGGGATTGGATAATATTCCCAGCTTTCTCTACCCCTAATTTCTAAATGAAGTGGAATCCACCAAGCACACCATATTACATGTTCCAAATTTCTCTAGGCATTATATTATTCAGAAGACATTAGCTTTGTTCTAAATAAAATCAACCTGAAGATTTTGATTTAACGCCCGAGGCTGAAATCTATAACCACAAAGTGAAATCTCAAATAACAAACAAAATGAACCACCATATTATTCAGAGGAATACATAAATTACAAGTAATGATACGGTAGTTAAGCTTGAAAACAAACTGGGAAGATAATCACTACAAATCACCAACACAACCTTATTAAGTTTTTCACATCAAGACTTTAAGCATAATCATTATTTTACACATACATCAAATCTCCCTTGTTTATTTGCACTCTCCTTAATTACTCTCGTTTGAAGGAGAAAATCTTTCTGCTTCCAATGCTTGATGTCTTTCTGATTCTCATCTTTGCACGATTTATATAATCTGAAAATGCATCTTTTGTGTTGTCTTCTTTCCTTGCATCATATTCATCATCTGTTGATCTGGAGGCAATCTTCTCCATTCCAACATTGGACATAGCTTGGATCCTAAGTCTTGCGCGATTAATGTAGTTGGAAAACGCATCATTGTAACCCAGACTTACTGTCCTATTTGTTTTCGTAAGTTGTGGCACTAGTTTGGACTTTTGCTTCTCAACTTTTGAACGAGCCTTGGCATGACTCGGCTCAGCAGGAACCTGTGTTGTTGGAATCATATTTGCTTTATGCTCTCTTTTCCCCGGAACTGAAACATGATTTGGTGTTGCTGCCAATTTACAAATGGGGCAGGGAGAACTGAAGACTTTCTTGCACAAACACTTGGAGTTTGAGCTATGCTGACTCTTTCCCATTTGGTTTTTAGGAGATGAAATAATTTGATAGCTTAATGAAGAATGGCTGGAGAAGTGTTTTTTGCTGGCTTTAATAGAAAGAAGAGAGACCTTAAACTTATTTATAAGATTGGTGGAGAAGTTAGGTATCTTGAGAGCATGTTCTTGCAATGCTTGCTCAAACTAAAAATATATGTAGAAATGAAGGGAAAACTTTGGCTAAAATAGTAAAAAAACTCTTCATAAAGGAGAACTTTCTGATTTTTGGAAATGAATTAGTGATGTATGGGATCGTATTCCCAGTTTATTTTGCCCCTAATTTCTTAGTAAAGTGGAAGCTCACCCTATTGCTACTGGTTTCCAAACTCTCTATCATTATTATAGAAACAAACTAGAATATATATATGTTTCATTGTCTGAATGGAATCAGATAAAGTCTGCAGCTGAGTTTGGATTTAGTTTATATTCTTTCGTTCAATAAGCGTGCACGAAAATGGAGATGAATACGCACTTTAGAGATAAATTTGTTTAAACACTAGCTCAGTTACTGTCATTTTCCTAAACCCTAAACCCTACTTATTATCTGATTCCTTCCTTTTTGAAGTTAAAAGTCATGACCTTTAGGAACTCTTTAACTTCAGTTACATTTTCCTGCATCACATGATTTCTATGCATATTAAAGATCCCTAAGTGAGTAAAGCTGACTAGTTCTTCGTCATTTTAACGTGATTACTTAGTATGTTCACTAAGGTTTCTTGAAACACATGAAGACAAATTATTTAATATTATTAACTCAGGAAGAACATACAGGACAATTCATAACATCACAAAAGCTGTATACACACATACAATACATGTATCAGGGCAGAAATATGAGAGAGAGAGAGAGAGAGAGAGAGAGAGAATATGCTGGCAATCACCACACCATTATTCAACATGACCTTGCAAGTCTCCTACTTTTTAAAGGAGATGTTCATTCTGCTTCCAATGCTGGATGTCCTTCTAATCTTAAACTTAGTGCGCTTAATAAAATCCATAAACATGTCTCCTTCATCATCTTCTTGCTTTGTTTCATAAGCATCATCTGCTATGGAGGCAACCCTCTCAATGCTGACATTGGAGGACGTAGCTTTGATCTTAAACTTTGTGCGGTTAATGTAGTCAGAAAATGCATCATTGTCTTCCATTCTCATATCTGCCTTGGGCATTCGTGCCAGTCCAGTTGACGCAGCTTCAGCTCCAGACGAATTGGTCAGTTTGATCTGGATACTATTCGAAAAGCTAGTATGGTCATGAGTTGGCAGTGAGGTGTTTGGAGCAGAAGAGGCCGGAACTGCATATTGTTTGTGGTGTGCGTGCTGGTTTGTCTGAAAATTTGGGCAGAGAGAGCTGCAGATCTTCTCACAAACACCCTTGGAGTTGGATCCATCTTGACTCTGTCTATTTCCCATTGCTATCTTAGAGAAGCTCGAAACCGCGCAAGTTCTGAAAATATGAGGGTACAGACGCTAGAAGCCTTTTAGTCACAATCAAAGTGTGACGAAAAGTATAAACTGTCGGACTAAATGGGTTAGTGGAGAAAAGGGTGTTGTGACTAGACTGTTGCTGAAAACTTCTTAACAGTTTAAGGGGTTAAGTTGTGAGAGATGGATAGCTCACAAATCATCATTTATAGTCTGCATGTGTAATTAGGAGTGATTGTTTGCTCGGAAAGTAATTTCCTTCGCAAAAAAAGAAGGGAGAAGTTTGGTCTAGATTCCAAATAATGAAGGAAAAGCTTTTCTTTTTTCCTTCTAAAGGATGTGTTGTTTGGTAATATTCCCACGCTATTCAGCTCCGATTTTCTTTGGCTTGGAAAATAACGTCTTGCTTTAACACATACATACACCTAATACAGCACTAGCTAGCAATTGAAAGGGTTATGACGTTCTCCAGCTATTTTACATTACATGAAGCTTCATGAGCTTCCAAAAGCATGACAAGTATATAGGCGCGCAGAAGACAGATAGAATCTAGGTGGGTACGTATGTGGAACCAGGTTGAATAACGAAACTCGATATATCCAGAAAACCCTAACTCTTCTATGTTGGATAACTTACACGGCTTTAATTTGTTGTTAAAGTCCAGCCGAAAGAATCATAGTGGGTTTCGAGTGGGAAACCACCAGCCCCTATTCATTTACTCTAAATGTGTACATTTGTGAGTTAGACCAATTCAGTGGCGGATCCAGAAAATAATATTTGAGGGGTCAGCGCAAATTTTTTTTACCAGAAATAGCATGCATATCGTTATTTCATCGAGTCTTGGTAGGTCTGAAGTCATTTGGAAAGGCATAATGCACACCTGTTAATGGCTCATTTGTGAGGATAACTAACATGTTCCAAAGCTGCTTCCATATGAATGTTTAACAAACAAACACACTTATCTTGAACACACTAACAATGTTTGATATCATTGCATCCCATTAATATGTTTGTCCAAGAATGATGATGTTTTGTTATCACCATTTCATTCACTCTTTTTTAAGACATTTGATCATGTATGAAGCCAACTCTAATCTTCAAAAGGGCATCACCCAAGGTATCCATGAGCATTCATCGAAGTTTGGAGGGTCAGCACCCAAGGTATCCATGGATGTTCACCGAAGTTCGGGGGTCAGCTGACCCCCCTACCCCTCAATGCATCCGCCACTGGACTAGTTCGCCATGGCAGTCTGTTAGTGTGTCCACCCACTTATATTCAAATTTGAATCTCCATCCCCATGGTTTAGAGTACATAGTTTAAAATTTGTTGTTCTCAACAAATAATATACACTAAATGAGTAAATTTTATGATCTAGAACGCATGCAAAATTCTGAAAGGGAAAAGGCATTTAACTTGATTTTACAGAGAAGATTTCTAGAAAGATGTTTCCCAAGTACCCTAATGCCAAAATCAATATGTCCTTTCTCCTTAGAAATTTCACATTAGCATTTAGCAGCCCTAAGATGAAACATACAAATTACCATCTTATACAAATCGCCATTATCTGCTCAGTTGGGCACCTATCTCCATACAAACCTTCCATTTTATTTTTCAGCCCCCTCTCTCTAAAATCATGGCTCTCAGAAACGCAAAATCCTTCTGTCTCTTAGAAATTCAGCCACCTCCTCTCTCGGATCTCTGCCCTCGCAGCCCTTTCATGTCTCAAATCTTCTCTGCCTGCAACTGAACAACGTACCTCCCCCTTTGTTGACTAGCCCATCCGTGGTAGAAAATCGGAAAAACTGACAGCCAAAGGTAAAATCATCCTCCAATCTGTTGTGTTCATGTCTCAGATTTATTTGTTTTAGAGAAATAGAACTAAATCTAACACATGCATGTCGTTTTAGTTGTTTGAGGACCCCCAATAATTTCAAATCCGAGAGAACAACACAAGAACAACACCCTGAATCTCCATCTCATCTCAACAAAATCATGTCTCCCAAGCCTCAAGCCATCACAGATTCGATTGACAGTCTTGTAGATCGAGACCACTGCACACATGCAACGGTAAGCATCGCCCACTTAGGTCAAAATACATGTCGCTCAGCTTGCGAAAAATCTCTGTAAGTTATATGTTCATGATGAGTCTGTAGAAGCTTACACAGATTTTTTTTTTTTAGTAGGTGTCCGAGATGCACCAAGAGACTGAAGAGACAACCTCGAAGAGCTCCCAAACTCACGGATCTGCAAATTGTTAGGTAGAAACCGTAACCCTTTTGATTGATTGATTAAGATCTGATACTGGGGTAATAACCACTACTGTGACTGAAAAATTTTCCCTTAACTCCAGCGTACAACCGAGAGACAACAACCTGGAGCTTCCGGTCTAGTGGTTACGGAAGGCAGCATAAATGACAAATGTCTCGGCCTCTGCAAATAAGTAAGGTAACGATCTCGTTCGTCTGCTTTTGCTAAGCTCAACATTTACAAGTTCAACAACAGTTCATTAGAATGCCATATGTAGCCTGTATGTACTCATATTGTTGGTCTTTATGTAGAGGTATACGGATCCATGATAGAGCCAAGGACACAGAAGTAAACACACAAGAGCAACGGAGGAAAACAGCACTGGCCGCATGACCCAGATCGATGCATCTGGGAGGTAAAATTTGAATCCCTGCAAGTGTAGTTGTTGTAGATCTGGTAATAATATCTGTACTCAGTTCTGTGGTGTATGGATCTGTGATTTAATTGTGCTTCCTCCATGCATTGCAAAACTGAGCTGCAGAAATTAACTGCTCTAAAGTTCGTTTATGTGCTGGATCTGCAACAATCACCCCCAAACTTGCATCTGTGAATGGCTTTTATATGTTGACTGCTTTAAATTTCCAGCATAGTGTAGATGTGGTTGATGTGAACGTTAGACTTGCTGCTGGGTGCAGGATTCCAGCATAGGACGCGCTTTATTTTCCACGTTCGCAACCTGCAATTAACCAATATGCGTCAAAAAATTATAATAAAATCAAATAAACTGGGTAAATAAAATCAATATGCAATCTTCCATTTTTTTTTAAAAAAAAAATATTTTTTTTTTAATTTTTTTAAATTTTTATATTAAAGAGAATCAAACGAAAATTAAAATTAGGAAAGAGTTTAGAAAAATTGGGTTGCCTCCCAATTAGCGCTTTATTTTAAGTTTGTAGCTAGACATTGCGGAAGTCCGGTGGCTAGATCACTGGTGCCTTCAGAGTCAGAGACTCGCCTACACCAAATTTCTCTATGCATGGTTTTAGTTGATGTTTGGTCACCTTCAATGAGAAATCTGTGCCCTTAGCCTTAATGTCCACATTACCATTCTGAAAACTTTAGTAACCAGAAAAGGGCCTTTCCATCGAGACTCTTGTTTCCCTGGAAATGACTTGAAATCTGAACTTAATAACCACACTTTTTTACCGGGCTGGATTTTCTTAAAATTTGGGCTGCTTGGCAAATTTTCATGTTTTTTCAAAGTGTTAATTGGCTGGTCTTCATGTAGCACCCTTTGCTGCTGTGGTTTAGGACTTGTACAATCACGAGTTAAATTCGGGGGCTTTATGGACAGATGGTCAGCTGATGACCTGTTCATAAACTTGGCACTTGGTAAACCATCCAATGCATCAACACGCATGTATTCTTGCTTGTCACCTGAATGTATGCTTGCTTCAAACAACTTGAAAACAACAGTTTGATCTTCAACCCGGAATGTTAATGTTCCGGCTTCAACGTCAATAAGAGTCAGGGCTGTTGCCAGAAATGGGCGGCCCAAAATAATGGGCGTTATCAAATCCTCATCCATGTCCAACACCATAAAATCAGCTGGTAAATATAAATTGTCAACCTTCACAATAACATCTTCAATAACTCATCTAGGGTAGGTAATTGAACGGTCAGCCAATTGAATAATACTGGAGGTTGTTTTCAGCTCCCCTTCACCTAAACGTTTGAAAACAGAATATGGCATTAAGTTTACACTAGCACCTAAATCAATTAAAGCACTACTAAAATAACAATTTCCAATGGTGCAAGAGATAGTAAAACTTCCTGGATCTTTTTTCTTTGGAGGCAATTTATGTAATACGACCACACTGCATTGTTCTGTAAGAATCACTTTCTCAAAATCAACAAGCTTCTTTTTCTTTGTGCAAACATCCTTCAAACATTTGGCATAAGATGGAATGTTCTTGATTGCATCAATTAACGGCAGATTAATTTGAACTTTAGCCAAAGTTTTCATAAAATCTGTTAACTGTTGATCTTTAGCTTTAGGTCTCAACCTTTCTGGATATGGCATAGGGGGCTCGTAAACACGTTCTGCAGTCTTTGTGGAAGCTTCTGCAGTATTTTCGGATCTGTCCTGGGACTTCCCAGAATCTGCAGAAATTTCAGAATCTGCAAAAATTGCAGATTTAGTTTGGGGTAGTTCTGCTGCCTGCGAATTCCCAATAGAATTTTCATGGCTGTTGTTGTAACTTTTGCCAGACCGTAGAGTCCGTATAGCATTGCATTCTTCTCGTCCTCTTGGATTTGGTTCGGTTTGGCTGGGAAATGTACCCGGTGCCCTTCCAGAAACCTGTAAAGCAATCTGCCCCATTTGTTTTTCCATGTTTTTCACTGCTGCATGTAGATTTTGAATTTCTTGAGTGGTAGTATTTGCTAATTTTTCAATTGCAACCTCCCAAGCAGCCTTAGATGCAGCAGGTTGTTGTACCTGCTGTTGAAATTGAGGCCTAGTGTGCTGTTCCTCGTCCCACCTTAGATTAGAATGATCTCTCCAACCTGGGTTGTAGAAATTAGAATACGGGTCATATCGGGGACGCTGAAAATTATTGAATGAATTAACCTGCTCCGCCATAAACTCCGGATAAGCATCTTTATGTGGATAGCTCAAAAAATCATGATTTGTCAAACTGCAAATGCTGCAGGCAGCTTGTAAGGGCTGCTGTACAGCAACCTGTGAACCTGGTATTCTCTGTAATAACATATCAAATTTTGCGTCAAGCCTTTTCTCCATTTTTTCAATTTGTGCTGTAACATACGGAGAACCGTTGGACATCTCAAAAACAGACCTAGATTGTGGCTGCTCAACTGCCCACTGTTGTGTATCTGCTGCCATTTTTTCAAATAACAAACAAGCCTCTTGTGCATTTTTATCCTTGTACGAACCTCCGCAAGATGCGTTGACAAGAGTTTTTGTAGTCATATTCAACCCTCTGAAAAATATATGCATTTGATCAGTAGTGTTAATACCCGAATGCGGACATTTTCTAATCAACTCTTTGAACCGCTCCCACGCCTCATGAAACTCCTCATTTGGTTTTTAGGCGAAAGATAAAATCTGAGTTCTCATGTCAAGGGTCTTAGAAGCCGGATAATACTTGTTTAAAAAATTTTCACTGAGTTGGGCCCAAGTTGTAATGCTTCCAGATGGGAGTGTGAGGAGCCATCTCCTTGCCTGATCTTTTAAAGTGTATGGAAATAACCGCAGCTTAATAGATTCAGCTGAAAATCCTCTCACCAAAATGTTTTTGCACCCCATTAAAAACTCTGCAATGTGCATGTTAGGATCATCTGATGATAACCCATGAAACGTAGGTAGGATATTCAACATGTGCTGTTTTATTTCAAATGCAGTTCCTTCCTCCACTGCCGGATATGTAATGCAACTGGGTATATTTGTGGAATGGGCAGTCAGTGAATCACCTAGGGGCAGTCCTGCCTCTGGAATTACAAACGCCATTTTTTCTTTGTTGTGCAGGTCAAAGTCTAATTGCAGAAGTCTCCTGCAGAGGACGAACCCGCTGCAAATTTTGCTCCCTGCGTTTCCTCCTTAAATGCTGCTCAAATTCTGGATCAAATGGAATCAATTTCTGCACTGTTGAACGGGTGCTGACCATGCACAGATTTCTGAAATCTGTACTGTTGTAATCTGTAAAAATAAATGAAAACGAAAATTAAATATTTTTTTATTTTTTTTATATGTATAAACAACAATAACTAATTGAAAATCTGATTCGTAGGGATTATTTTAAATAATCCCCGGCAACGGCGCCATTTTCTTGATAGGATTTTTACTACTTATGTGAATGCAATAAAAACCTTCTATTTTACTTGCAAGAATCACAAGGTTATTGTAGTATAAACGGATCTCGCAAAGTCATTCTCCACAGGGATTATTAAGTAATTCGAAACAAATCAGATTCCAATTAATGATTGTAAAGTAGAAATTTAGATGATTGATTTTATAACCTACTTAAATTAAAAACGAATTTAACTATTAATGATAAGACAATCTGCAATATTAAAGCTAGAGAGAAAAGAAAACAGTTTTGAGAGAAATCAAATTAAGAAAGCACTAGGGTTCCACCATCACCTAGCAATCCTATGAATTTTTACCAATTACTTATGATCTACACATGCCACTTTGAAGGTTAGATTTTCCTAATTCATATTCTACTTGGAACCTCCAACATAGAACGTATATCTAACATGCAACCCGTCCGGACGTTCGGATCAAATCTAAACATGAAAGACTCATTATGCTTTATGAAAATCCTTTGAAAAACCATGCAATCCTTAAGACGTGATATTCATCCTAAGAGAAATTACAATTATTAATCACAAGAAGCCAGCGTCAATTTCAGGGAACCTTCCGACCAAAATTGCATCAAATTACTTTTCTAAAGATCCTAATGGTGATCAGGCATTAAGATAATTAGATAGTTTTTATCCCGGTGATTAACAATTCAAAATATGCATGCAATCAATCATAGGCAATTAAATAAAAATCACATATTCATGCTAAGGCTCAAGGCTTCGCCCTAGCAAAAGAAATTAGTTCCGCATATTCATAATTGAAATCATAGAAAATATTCTTAAGAAAAGGATTGAAAACACCTTCAAGTAGAAAATCTTTAAAACCCTAGCACTTCTCTCTGTCTCCAATATTGCATAAAATAAAGCGTACCCTAAAACTGTAGACGGCTAAGCAATATATTTGCCAAGCCACCACACAAACCCTAGCCAACTAAAATTAATAAAAACCCTAATTAAAAATAGTAAAATTCGTCTAAAATCTGAACAGCCACGTTTTGGCCCATGAGCTGCTTCAAAACTGGCCCAATATAGCTGGATTTAATGTTTGGAATATTCTGAACACTTTTCCAGAAGGCCACGAACCCATCCGAGGTCATCTTGGGCTCCAAAAACGTCATTTAAGCCCAAAAACGTCATTTTCCAGCACTGCGCACTGCTTCTTTATTTCATCGCCAGAAAATAACCGCTTGGTGGAAAAATCCCAAATTTTGATACGATCAAGCTAAGTGACTCACGAACGTCCTCCAACTGGAATTACTCCAAAATTCGTCCATTTGGTCCTGTTTTGCTCCAGAGGAAGTTGAAAGTCCTATATTGAAAATACAATTCAAAGTATCAAAATTCTTCCAAAATATTAACCAAATTATACTAAGATTAGGGTAAAATATATAATATAAAATCTACTCATCAGTTACCATCACTAAGTAGTTAACTTTGCAACCAAAATATTCCTGTCATTCTTTCCATTGATTTTTTTTTCTTGTCCATAATATGGCCAAGCTTCATTGATGGCATATTGTTTTGGAGTAGAGAAAGTTATGAATCGGGAAAGTCAGGAATAGAAAAATAAGGAGTGGAAATAATATCAACCCCTAATCAATTTAATTCAATAATCAAGAACTGGATTAATTAAGAATTGTACGTAGTGTGATAGCCATATGTTTTTTTGCCTGCAGTACGTGTTAGTAAATGTAGAGGAAGTAAAGAATCGGAATAATCCCAATACTAGTAAACAGAGAATTAAGCCCAGGAATTGGACTTGTTCAAGTCTATTCCTACTAAGTTATGTTGGGGCTTAAAAAGACTTTACTACTTTGGAGACGTTTATCTCACAAAGAAGAATGTAATGCAGCGAAATTGATAGGCAAGAGAAAGAAAGAACACTCAAAGTTTTTATACAAAATTTTATTCACTCACAAACTAGTACAAGAGGAAACACTCAAACACTTTTACACTTCTTCACTCTTTTCTCACTTCTTGCTCTCTTGGTTGTTTCAAATAGTGTGGATGCCTTCTCCTTTAATAGGCATGGATGGAACCTTGGAGAAGCATGGAAGCATCATGCTAGAGATATCTAGATAATTCCACTACCTTCCTAAGCTAGAATTATCTACATTAATCTTGTATGTTGGTAGAATCCTCACCATTCTTCTAGACTCTTCCACCAACTTGAACTTTGCTAGAATTCTCTAGCATGTGCATGGATCTTTCTTTGTGTATGGGCCGGATCAATTGTCTTGAGCCAAGACAAGATTACATTTCAACAAGTTATCCATCAAGACTAACCATAGTCATTACGGATGCTGTCATTGTAAATGAAGATCCTATCAGCAATCATTAGAGCTCCCTCGTTAATTTTCACTCTCTTACTCTCGCTTGAAGAAGATATCTTTCCGCTTCCAAGACTTGATGTCTTTCTGATCCTCATCTTTGCACGATTTATATAATCTTAAAAATGTATCTTTGGCACTCAGGCACTGTCTTCTTTCTTTCTATCATATCCAATATCCATCATCTCTTGGTCTGGAGCACAGTCTAAAATATCGATATTATCAGCGAAATATCGCCAATAATATCGGTTTTTTCACATGGCGATATTTTCACACATATACACATAATTATCGTCAATATATCGCGATATTATCGACAAAATCGCCGAGGCTCCGTCGTCGGAAAACTGCAGCCAAGGCTCCATCGTCCCAGCTGCCAAGATCTGCGCCTCTCTCTGCAATCAACTGCCAAGATCTGTGGGTGTGGTGTGTCTGTGCTCCGGGAATGAGAGTTGCAGAGATGGGGGGAAAAGAAACAAAGAGAGGCATGAGGGAGAAGGTTCGAGGGATTGGGGAAAGGGGAAACACGGGGAAGTGGGGTGTGTGTGTGTGTGTCTGCTCTGGGAAGGACAGTTGCAGAGAAGAGATGGGGGGGAGAACCGGAGAAGAAACAAGGAGAGGGAGGGTGTGTGTGTGTGTGTGTGTGTGGAACGAGGGAGAATGATCGAGAGATTGAGGGGGTGTGTGTGTGTGTGTGTGTGGACTGAGGGAGAAGGATCGAGAGATTAAGGGTGTGTGTGTGTGCGGCACACGGTTTTGTGTTATCCGAGAGAAAAAAAACATTGAGTGTGTGTGTGTGGGGGCACACGGTTTTGTGTTATCCGAGAGAAAAAAAAATTGAGGGTGTGTGTGTGTGGGGCACACGGTTTTGTATGAAATAATTGGAAGTGACTTTGCTCAGAAGAACAAAAAAAACTCAAGAACTTTATGTGGTACTAAATCACTCATGTATCCTACCATGCAATGTATAAAGTGTAAAATATTGTACTAATTAATTATATATAAATGATTATGGTGTGTTTAAACTTCTTTCATTAATTACTACATATTTTTTACACTCACAATGTTTGCCAGCTCGCTAAATAATCAACTTAAATCAGTTAAATCCATCATGCAATGCATTTCCTTCTAATTTTTTGTGATAAACTAATAGATAATTGACTAAATAAACATTCTGCAAAGTTTCAATAAAAATTTCCAAGTTTTTCTTATAATTTCCTTGGTTTTTATTCAATTTTTATCGATATCGATAATATCCCGATATTTTCATCGATATTTCCGTGTTTTTGAACTACCAATATTTCCGATATGATCGATATTTAATACATTGGTCTGGAGGCAATGTTTTACATGCCGACACTGCAGATAGCTCGGATCTTAATTTATGCGCGATGAATGTCGTTAGATAATGCATCGTTGTATGTCAAACTTACAGTTCTATAAGTTGTGGCTCTAGTTTGGACTGTTGATAGCTTCTCAACTCGACCCAGCGAGAACCTTGTTGGTGAAGTCATCTTTGCCTCAGTCTTGCTTGTCTCCAGCACTGAAACCTGAGTTGGTACTGTTGCCAATCTATAAATTGGGTTGAGAGAACTGAAGATTTTCTTGCACAACAATGCTTTGAGTTTGAGCTATATGCTAACTCTTTCCCATTGGTATGTAAGAAGTTAATTGAGCAAGCTTGTAATAAGTTTAGAGATGAATTAATGAGAAATCTCGAGAGCATGTCCTTGCTGTCCTTGCTCGAAAACTGAAAAATAGAAACAGAAACGAAGGCAAAACCACGTTGGCTGAATAGTAAAAAATTGTTCATGAAGGAGAAATATTCTACAATTGAAGTGATGGATGGGAATCATATGCCCAGCTTCTTAGCGCATAATTTCTTCACAAAAATGGGATCCAGCAACTGCGTTGCTTAGGTTAGATTTAGTTTCTATTATCTCGGTCCAATTTGCGCATACAAAAATATAGATGCGGAGGAGTCTGGCCTTTTAAATTGTAGCCTCTCGAAGAGGTGAAGAAATATATGCCAACTGTCAAGGATTTGGGACAAAAACTGTCTGAAGCTTGCTGCAATGCATACAGAGGTCACACTTTTAGGAATTCACACTTTCCTGGATCACATGATTTATATGCACAATAAAGATCCCTAAATATGTGGGATGGGATCTTTCTTGATTTTAACATCACCGTTTCATACATTCGCTAACATTGCTCGAAAAGAGCAGATTTATAATAGTACATGGGCTTTAGAAACACATGAAAGAAGAATGATATAATTTATTATTGACTCAGAAATGCATACAGGACAATT